CTTATATATGAAATTTCATCAACCTAGCTGTAACGGTACTCAAGTTATCGTGTTTACACACGGACACACACACACACAGACACACACACAGACACACAGACATACGGACAAGATTGCAAAATTATGTTTTTCCGCATCAGTGAGATGCAAAACGTCGAGATTTGCAAAAATCTCGATTTTTTTTTTTTGCACGATTACAAGACTTTCTCTATACTTCGTATATACGAGAAAGTAAAAAAGGAAAGATTTTGCGCCGACGTAAAAAAAGAATTTGTATTTATCAAAAGAAAAGAAAAATAATTTGAAGGACTATGACTGTGCTGTTTTCACTCAACTTTACGGACACTTTTTACCGCCTCTCACTTCAAGGTCGCGCTGACCGTAAGACCTACGACACGAGACCACGCGCGAGCACAGTAGTGTCTCACGGTCAAGGCAGTTCTACAAACGCTGTTTATCTAATTTTAACGTGGTTGTCTTTAATATTGGGCTTACTGCTAGATTAAAGCGAAAACAAAAACTAAATCTGCATCGTTTTAGGTCATTGAACAAAATATGTACTTTATGTAGGTCTGCTATAACTTAGTTACACCATCTAGCAGGGTCTAGATTTAATTGCTTTTTACTGTGGTAAAACGTCCTTGAAATGTTTAAGAAGCCTCGAATTACCGTGTTTGAGAAAATTGCCGCTGTCACTGCCCCCTCCCATCCGCTTGTAAAAAAAAATACGCTTTTCACTTTGTCGGGCGGCTACATCTCTGACATGAGTATTACTAGCGTAGTTACTTGTGAAATTGTTTTAAAAAAACAACTTAATTCTGTTATTCCGCGATATGAACTAACTTAAAACTTCCACGATATTTCTTTACGTCATCATGTATATCATAGGTGGGGACATTGGGGTCGTCCATAAATGACGTCACACTCGTAGGGGGAGGGGGATCCGTAATCGTGTGACGGTGTGTGATGAGGGGATGGGGGGGGGGGGGGGGTCAGATCGTGTGACATCACACTTTTGCATTATTAAAAAGCAATGTTAGAAAACGAATTTTAGCATTTTAGAAAACTGTTTTAATAAATTGTAAAAGGAATTGATTAAAATACTCTATTTTAGACAAGATTTTGGGGAAAAAATCCTATTTTAAGAAAAATTAAACTGCAATCAAGGGGGGGGGGGGTGTAGGAGGGGTTATAGGCTGAGGTGTGACGTCATTTTAGAGGGCGGGGCCTGGCTTTTTGTGATGTGTGACGGAGGGGGGGGGAAGAGGTAATAATCTTTTAAAAAGCGTGAGGTCATTTATGACATTAAGCAGGATAATTTCTACAAGCATAGCTAGGTTTTTTTTTGTTTCTATATGTGTGCAGAGTCCTTTTTAAAGGACTATCAGACAGACTGTGATGACGCAAGGTTGCGTCGAGCTCAGGTAGATAGCAGAAGCAGGCTATAGCAAGTTGGTCAGACTAGTCAGAGAGAGAGACCAATGAAAATACGGGAACTGACCGGTCACGTGGGACGGTCAGCTGACCACTGAGGCGTGGGTCAGTAGTAGAGAGATAGGAGGAGTTGATAGGTAGCTAGCGAGGAGTAGTGAAGGTGTTAGGAAGCGGTTAGAGACGGTTGTAATATGTAGAGCTAGGGAACAGAAAGTTAGTGTTAGGATTGGTCATGGGAGTGCGTAGTTAGTAGTATAGTGAACAGTTAGTAGTAGTAGTAAACAGTAGAGAGTATAGAATAGGCTAATGAGGTAGAAACATGATTTTATACATTTGAATAAAGAACTTTGTATTTGGAACTGAACTGTGTGTTATTGGATTCATTCGTTTCGCATCGTAAAAATCCCCACCCTCACAACTGGTGCAACAAGAAGAACCACAAACAAGATCCTCATTTTGTACCCTCACAACTGGTGGAGCGCGGGTCGAGTACAGGAAAGACTGGGTATATCGGGTTACTCATGACGGAGTACATCTGGTGTACAGCTTTCTTCAACTCAACACAACAGCGGGTTTCTTCAACCGGAACGAGTGGATTACCAATACAAGGGAACAGTCAACATGTTCAAAAAGATAAGTACCTTCCAACATTTTTTTTTAAACGTTTGGGTTTATACCGTGCTGGATAGTTTGTGCCAGCGGTTTTTCTGCCTTACACATTCTTATGTTACGCCCTGTTGCCTTAGTTTTGTTTACTTTCCTCAACACACACACATACACATACACAACCATGAAGGCAGAGTTTCAATGCTATAAACGGGGCATACCATTAGACAAAACAGGAGAAGTTGGAACATTTGTAGAGAATAAGCTAGAAAACAAGATAGTCAAGATAGTAAGACATGTCAAGAACAAAAGCAGAGTTAGCGTTAGAATTAGTGAAACTGGAAGTACAGCACATAGATAACACGCAACTGCCCAAGAACATCAACCCCATGACCAGGAATTTGACCCGGACCGCCCCCATAAATGATTTTGAACAACGGACAAAAGTGAAGTCAAGTCGAGTATTTTTGTGTTGATCTAAGTAGTCGAGGAAATCGGCGTGAAGTCGATACAGTTGAAGTCGAAGTCAGTGTAGTCAATCTGAAGTCAATAGTGTTATTGAAGTCAGTGAAGTATAAGTCAGAACTGAAGTCAAAGAAGTCATTTGAAGTCAGTCAAGTCAGTCAATAAGTTATTGAAGTCGTAGTTAAGGTCATAGTGACGTAGTTGAAGTCATGTTGCAGTCAAAGAAAATTCTTTGAAGTTATATTAAAGTCGTTGAGGTCATAGTGAAGAAGTGAAATCGTCGAAGTTATAGTGAAGTCTTTGAAGTCAAAGTGATGTCGTTGAAGTCTTTGAAGTCATATTGAAGTTGTTAAAGTCAAAGTGAAGTCTTTGAAGTCATATTGAAGTTGTTAAAGTCAAAGTGAAGTCTTTGAAGTCATATTGAAGTTGTTGAAGTCAAAGTGAAGTCTTTGAAGTCAAAGTGAAGACGTTAAAGTCGTCGAAGTCTCAGTCAGTCAGTGAAGTCTTTAAAGTTGAAGTCGTCGAAGTCAGTCAGAGAGGTCTAATTAAGTCAGTCGTCAGAGGAAATCAGTCGTTAAATTGAAGTCAGTCAGGTTACTGAAGTCAAAGTGAAGTCAGTCAAAGTGAAATAAGTCAAGTTACTGAAGTCAAAAGTGAAGTCAGTCATTAAGTCAAGCCAGCCAGTTTAAGTCAAGTCAGAAGTCAGATAGTGAGAGCTGCTCCACTATATGATCACGTGTTGAAATGTTGATTTGAAATGGCACGATATTATTGATATACACTCACATGTCTATTCTTTTTGTGAAGCTATTTCTAAGCTCTAGTAGTGTTTACGTCTATTGAGTTTATTAGGCTTTACAGATTGTTGTTAGATTAGAGTGTACTGATTTTTTTTGTTTGGTTATTTTGTAATATTATTTTTAATGTTTTTTTATGCCGCCAGACAAATGTTCAGCACGTTTAAATTTGGGATTGAGGTTTTTATTAAATGGAAGGTACCTCTGTCTGAATACTTGTCTGCGCGGGCACTAAGATAGTCACGTAAAACCATTGCTCATGGTCTCGTAATACAATTTCAGACCCACCAGCGCTATTCAGAATGAGACGAGATGAAGCCGACACTTCAAAGAGTGCCGCCACCTGAAACCCTGATTACGTTGAATTACCTGGACAGCGAACAGCCCTGCCGAACGGAGAGTCGCCCTGGTCAAGACAGCGGACGCATCGCCACCGCTTCGCCCCCGCACTGGGGTTGAATAACAGACCGCCAGCTACGTACACCTACGTCGGCACATACAAAGGGTAGACGACCCATCGTCCAAGTTCCCAGCCTCGGAACGTTACGTCATTGTTCGCCACCGCATCAGACAGCTCCAGTTCATCGTATAACCACTCTACGTGGACGTCTCAACCAGCGTTGAGTTTGTTGCGTCATCACATTGACCAACGAAAGTTACGCCTACACCCGCCTCACGGGAATTTACATCAAAACTCGCCACAACCCACCCACCACAGAGGAACGCCAGCAATTACATAACACTTACACATACACTTACACTGCTCGCAGAGCCCGTTCAACCAGTTACACATTCTACTAAGATTAGCTCAAGGCCAGTACACGACAACCTAGCCAGAACTGAGTTACACATGATTGAATTCAAACATACCATAACATAGACATACATTAGCAAGCAGTCACACCACAAGATCCAGAAACTAGAACAATGACATTTCTTTCAAGAACACAGACACAAGATTTTATGTTTTTGTAAACTGTGCTGTCCCATTTTGTATTTGATTTACATGATTGATGTTAGGGATAGAATAGAGTAGTAAGATAGATAGTTGTTGATGTATTAGATTAGTAGCAGACGCTGAAAAATATAATTTGTCAGCTACAGAAAGGGAGGGAGATATGTGATGACGCAAGGTTGCGTCGAGCTCAGGTAGATAGCAGAAGCAGGCTATAGCAAGTTGGTCAGACTAGTCAGAGAGAGAGACCAATGAAAATACGGGAACTGACCGGTCACGTGGGACGGTCAGCTGACCACTGAGGCGTGGGTCAGTAGTAGAGAGATAGGAGGAGTTGATAGGTAGCTAGCGAGGCACCCCATGCGAATGGCTATCTCTGTATCTGTCAATGATCGGATCATTGAGTAACTAATAGATATACGGTCACTTCCTGTGTGGATCAGCCGACAAACTCAATGATAATTGCTCCGACTTTTGAATCTATAAATAGAATAACAAAAGGAAGGAAACGAAATTTTAAACTGATTTCCGCCATTACAAAAATAACATGAAACCTACAGTTCACGACACATCGCATAGGAATTTAAAATAAATATTAGGCCTATAGGTTTAATACATATTTCTTAGAATATAGAAATTTAGATCTAGTGTTCTGGTTAGTAGTTATTTCATGTTTATTAGAATATAGTCTAGATTCTAGAATCTAATCATACGGCTGCATAAAAAGAAAACCCATCTGCCATCTAGATCTAGAGAAGCGGAGGTAAGAAGGTTAAATTAGTAATTTACATGATTTTTATTGTAGTTTCACTGTTTGTTAGGCCCAATTATTAAATCTTTAGATCAGAGGTCCAGCTTGATCATGTGTGGTATCTATTGTGGTGCATTGGAATGAAAAGCCCACATACTTAAATATAGAATCTAGTAGGCCTATACTATAACTGTACTGCCCTATACTTTAAATTTGTTACCACAAGAAAAAAGCCTATTTACTATTATTAGTTATAATTAAATTAAATTGAAATATTTGTTTATCTTTATAGTTTATAGTGAATGCATGCTAATGAGCATTATTCAAGCTGCTGTTATATTTAGGCTTATAGGCCTATATACTCTATAGCTTAGGCTATATACTATAGACTATATATTATATACCAATATTGTGCATAAAACTTAAAGCATGTAAGCATACACAATAATAATTATCATTAGACCTATAGTAACTAAGACTCATACTATTTAGTACTACTTTAATACTACCTTTAAACTATTAGGCATAATGAAATAATGATTAATAATTTCAGTGTTTTCCGCACTCAAGAGGAAGGAGGTTGCAGGGAACTTAGAGACTAATCTTTGCCAACATACTGGATTTCTGGTGATGACAATAGGAGCAAATAGTATGCGGCTCAGTTAATACTAAAAACAATTGATTTTAGTAATTAGTGGTAAGCTCTTTTTTAAAATAATATATTATAACATGGTATCGCAAAGGTTCAGGTTGTCCGATAAATGATAATTAGAGTCAGGTTTAGGACTATAGTTTAATGCTTGGTTAGTAATATGCATCAAGTTGGGAAAGACATAGAAATGGAAATACATAGAATTTAATGTGTTCATTCGCAAACGTTACTATTTAAAAATTTTTAGGCCTGCTATTTATTGCTGAATAATAAAATCACTATACTTATCCACTATATTATGTTTAAATAAAGTGAGTTTAGATCAGTCGAGTAAATAAATTTAATAGCAAGACATAACTAAAATTTACAATGAATATATATATATATATATATATATATATATATATATATATATATATATATATATATATATATATATATATATATATATATATATATATATATATTGCTATTTTATAAAAGTATGTAAATCACAGAACAAACATTCCTTTGTATTTTGTCTACAACTTAACAAAAATGCTACTACTTTGATGGATTGCACTAAATAGGGGTTAGCTTTAATTTAATAATTTGTGAGATATTCTTGCTAATCTATGTGTAAATTGCTTTTCAGGACTATGAGTGTGTGTTTGGTCATCCAGATATCATAACTACAACTGATGTTCAATTACAAGGGATATTAATCAGTCTCCGTGGACTATACACTGTGCCTAGTTTCATCCTCAGGTAACTGTACTATAGGCATAACCCATTTTTTAAAGTAATTATTATAGCAAGAGATAGCATTATATGTTAAAATAAATATAATGGATTTCAATCCAAAATATTTTATTAATTATTGTCTTTTCTTAAATTCTAATAAATCAGTGAGTTGTACAACATAGAGGGTATTATATTTGAATGATAATTGAAACACATATTGTTATAGAGCTCAAAACTATGTACTTATCTAATATAATTAATATACTGAAACAGTTTTATTGAAGCATATTATTTCATATTTTACCACACAGAGACTGATGTGTAAGCTTAAAGTAAAGACATCAAATCAAAGTATCAGCTATCAAGAGGGTAAATATTGATAGTCTACTTCATTAATCTTCAATATGAATGAACACAATTTTAAATCTATAATATTTGCTGATAATGTTTGTTTCTTGTTATTCATCATGTTCAGTGCTTTATCTTTTCAAAGTAATTAGTTATAGTAAAGAAATAGTAGAGATAGTAATATAAATTTGTAATGTATTTCTCTTGCTAGTTCCACAAAAGAATATTTCAAAATATTTTGTCTTTATTTCATTTACAGAAGAACATTCAAAATCATATTGTGATACACAAATCAAGCAAGTCTATAACCAGCAATATGATACAGGCCAAGAAAAAGCTGGATATTTGATTGGAAGGGTGGCACAAAAAAGATGGGTTATCACTAGGGAAACAAGCTCGGAATACAGTTCACTGTTGGGACATCAAGCCAAATACTTCTAAACTTATTTGAATCATTTTTGCTGTTTATTATAATTCATCCAATTGTCTTATTAAATATATAAATTTATATATATACACAATTCCTAATATAGAATTTCTAAAAATGTTTTATTATAATATTTAAAAATGAAACAAACATGTTCCCAGAACACACAAAATGTCATTATGTGCCCAGAACACACAAAATGGCAACATGTTCCCAGAACACACAAAATGGCAACATGTGCCGAGAACACAAAAAATGACAACATGTGCCGTTAACAATACTTCACTTTTTCCTTAACAATTTTACAAGCAGGTAATAAAGCCATAAATCTTTACTGTGGATATAGCCAATAAATAGGGTAACCTTCACTTTATGCAATTTGTAGTTTTCAATGCCTGTCCCATGCAAAGTATTTAGCCTAGTGTTTTGGGCCTTGCTTCATTTACTCAATAAATTATATAGGCATGAGAATTTTCATTTTAATCTGCAAAAGCTACATTCTGTACATTATTATTTTCAAACTACATCATATATTTTTCTCCTCTCTGATAAAAAATATTCCTCATATTGTTTGTGTCAAGTATTTTATTTTTATCTATGCAATGCTATATTCCTATTTTATAATAATTACTTTTATACAAATTCTTTTGAAAACTGTTCTTTATTGATTTGTATCATTTTCTTTATTTCTGAAAAATAAAACTTTGTTTGGGAATCCTTTTTTTGTTTCTGTACAAATTAATAAACATAAATACCTACCAGGCTTAATATCCAGCAACATTAAACAATTAAGTAAGGCCTATTGTTAGTAATGGTAAATTTTATACTAATTAATGTGATTTCTCCTGGCCACCTTGTTCTGAATACCTTCAACTGTGTCAATGTTGCTACCAACTCCAATAATTAAAACTGAAGTCATTTACTATGAAGTAAAACTTGGGTGTAATCCAAATCCACCCAGTTGCCGGGGGCAAGGTACCAAACATGATGTCCAGTAGAGGGTTAAGAAAGTATCATTATTAAATCACTATTAAACCCCTCCTCGCCTACGCCATTGCTTGTATGCATATGGACGTTATCGGAATGTAATGTATTGCTTATAAGTCGAAAATGCGAAAAAGACACGTTTAACATTACTAGTTTGAAGAATAACATTCATGTTAGCCGAAACAGGTGTATTCTAAAGTTGTTTAAATTCATTTTATTGTTCATTACGATTATGTTGTCGTAAAATATAGGCCTATTTTTAAAAAGCATAACTAAAAAGTGTTTTAACGCATTTTCTTCTTAGAAAAGCCTCACATGCATGATATCATTAACATTACGGCAAATCAAACCCTTGAAGAAGCCCCATCAACCATTCAATTTTTACGATGGGCAACAAATAAAACGCCCGCATCAAGGTACAGTCCTATGCTATCGACATTAGCTCAACCCCGGCAACTAACGTGTCCCAAAACCAAGAATTGAAATCTTGACCCATTATTCTGATTAATTAGTGGTTAAACATCTTTAGGCATCTGAAAACGTTAGTTTTTAATCTAGTGTACTCAAAAAGGAAGAACATAAAGCTTTATGCCGCCTTAAAAACCCAATCCCATGTTACGCAAGGCGTCGATAGAGAAAGAATAAGGCTTTGAGTCAGAACAGGCAAAGGCTTAGATAACTGCCAAAATACCTAATCTGTAGACCTCACAAGTCTAGACGATATATTTGTGCCTCTGTTTTTAGACTTTCAGAACAAATGCATGACTGTGATGTGGTCAGTAGGCACATAAAAGAGAAAAGTAGTTTTAATCTAAAGACTTCAAACATTTCTGAAGGACCGAATTTGAACTTGTAGGCGGTGGTGTCGATGCCAAAGTTTAGCGTCGTCCGCAAAGATAAGCTATCGTTATATCATCTCTATGCCCATATTGTGACAGATATTTACAAATGTGTCTAATATAGGACAGAATACATAGCTACTCAATAGAGATAAGCGCAATCATTTGTCCACGACTTAAGAAACCACTGTACTGCAAAACCCACCTAAATGGAAAATGTCTTAGACAGAGTTTCTTCCAGGCATCTCTTCGGGGGGGGGGGGGGGGGGGGGGGGGGGGCCTTTGCTCCCCCGAAAAATTTTTACCGCCCCCCCCCCCCCGAACGAAATGAAATTTATATAATTTAAATAGAAAATATATACTTTTAACAGTGTCCGCCCCCCCACCCCGAAGAAAGTCTACCGCCCCCCCCCCCGAAGAAAGTCTACCGCCCCCCGGAGAAAAAAGTCTGGAAGAAACACTGAGTCTTAGATGTGTGTTTTAATACAAATGTGTACCTTGTCGCGAGTTAGGACCTGTAGGTAGTCCATGTAGATTCCCCCCCCCCCCACCCCCCCGAAGAAAGTCTATCGACCCCCCCCCCCCCCCCACCCCCGAACGAAACGGAATTTATATAGAAAAAAAATATACTTTTAACAGTGTCCGCACGCCCACCCCGCCGGAAAGATTTCGCCAGGGCGGCGCCCTAGCAGGAAGCAGAGGTGTAGCAACCTATTCCGGCGCCCGGGGCGAACTATCACTGTTGTGCCAACCCTATTCAAACGCTGGCAAAAAGGCGCCCATCCCTACATACACTCCCCTATATAAAATAATTGAGGATATCAGTCATGGATAAATCTGTTTTCTTAAATTTTACTGAAGAATGAGGATTTAAAAAAAAAATGTCTACCCCTTTTGGCGCCCCATTCGATCTGGGGTCTCTGACAGGAAGCAATGCAATTTTTCTCCATAAAAATAAAAGCCAGATGCAATTTGACACTGTTCGTACGAGAGTCATAAAATTTTGGGTAGTTGGTGAAAAGGGTTTCTAGAAAGAAAAAAATTCTTAAGTGTGGCACCCTGGGAGGGTTCGATTTTTCTAATTATACGATTATGAGCTCAGAATCCAGAGGGGAATCCAGAGGGGCTATCTCATCAATTGCGGTCATAGGTAATACTAGATTCAGCAGAGGCGCAGCGAGGGGGCGGGGGGTACATATGTCACCGGGAGCCAACCCTAGGGGCGCCAAAATGGTTGGGAAAATTTAAAAGCTCATTTTAGCTATAGTTTTGCATTATAAATATTTAAAAAATACGGGGGGGGGGGGGCGCCAAATTGAAAGTTTGTCTCCGGCGGGAGGGGTGGGGGGGGGGGCGCCAAATTGAAAATTTGTCCCCAGGCGCCAGGAATGGTGCTACGCCTCTGAGATTCAGTGATAAAACTACACCAGGTTCATCCGCCAGCTCCCCGGCGGTTGAGTGGCCCAGAGCGGCCAAGACCCATCTCGGGCGACCCTACGGTTTAGATGGGCTACTATAAATGTTCACTAAGTAGAATAATGAGCGCCCGCCGGCGCCCTGGCAATTGGCGACAGCGAGCGCCCCGGGCTCTACAGAGAGTGCCTCCTTAAAGAGCACCCTACAATAGGGACACGGTGGCACACGACATTTTATAATTAAACCGAATTAGGGGCGCCCCTGCGGAAATATAACCAGTGGCTCCCTGGAGCGCCAAGGGACGCGTCTCTAACACATGGGCGGTCGCCAATGTGTGTTCTACCTCACTATTACAGAGGTTGATTAACGTACACTCAAGGCTTTCATACAGTGAGCCTTGGTGCGTCTAGGCAGCAGTGGAGACAAACCCGCGCCCCAAAAACGAATATGTGGGTTTGTTTGTTTAAGCATTATCAAAGATTTCATTCGTTTGTCATTCAAATTTGAGAAGTTAATGCTAATACCCCTGTGGTGGTTTCTACGAAAAAAATTCGATTTGGTGGCGCCCTGGCAGGGTTCCATTTAGCTCCCCGGGTTTTCCCGTGAGTACTATGGTACCTTTGTTCGTTTTAATAATTGCGAAACGCTATGAATATGATGGGCTACTATAATCGCTCACTATAGCGAGTGAGGCGCCTTCCTACCTACGCCCACCTACCTACATACCTAACTCCCTGCCTACGTACCTACCTATCTACTAACCTGCCTGCGCTGCTGCCTGCCTACCTACTTTCCTACCTACCGTTATTCCTGCCAAACTGCTTTCCTTCCACCCCGCCTGTCTACACACCTCACATCCTACTTACACACACACATATCTTCGTATGTATATATGTATGTGTTAGTGTGCTCTAGGACTATGTATTTTTACATTTTTGTTGTTACGTAGAACTATTCAGTATAAAGGAGTTTCCTTTTTTTTTTGACGTTGTAACTGCCGCTAAAATATTCTTTTTTGTATGTGTGCATAAAATAGTGTAGGTTTATTAACAAAAGTAAATTTTAGTATGTATTTAAGTGTATATAATCATTTTCGTCAAGCCAATGTGTTCATAATCTTAAATTTAAAAACCCATGAAACTCGATAGCCAAAGATTTAGAATGAGAATAATTGCTATTTAACCAGTAACACCTATTCTAATTATTGTAATAATATTTTTTTTTAAATAAATATACACAGAGATAGATTGTTTTCTTATATAATTTATTTAAAAAGTCAACTGTATTTCATAAAGAAAATTAACACAAAATACATTCGAATAGAAACTGTCAAGGGAGACTACTCTAATATTTGTAGGAATAATAGTTTTGATTTAGAGTTTTTTTTTTTTTATTATTAGAAGAAAAGTTAATCATGTAGGTTCTATAAAAGATTACCTTGCATTTAAAAAAAAAAGATATTCGGCAGGTTTAGAATGAGAAATAGTCAAAATTATTTATTATATTCATTAGTTGTTGTTTTTTAATAATATAGTACAAAGACCTGTTTTAATTATTTTTTTAAAATCTTATTTTAATTAATAAATTATAAATGAAGATCGAGGATCTATATTTTTAAAAAAATAATTTAACTGTCCCTAAACAATTGTATCAATCGCTGAGAAATTAAGAATTAATAATTACGTTTAACGCTTTATTAATTAAACGAGTTGAATTATTTCCGTTTTGATAAACTCTCTCTCTCTCGTTATAACTACTAACGCTTTATCATTGAGTTTCTTAAGAGAAAAATACAGGAGAGCGGTAGTTATCATTGACTCTGTCATTGATAATTTCATTGAGTCTTTCATAGAAAATAGTGTTTGATCGGCTGAGCGAGGAGTAGTGAAGGTGTTAGGAAGCGGTTAGAGACGGTTGTAATATGTAGAGCTAGGGAACAGAAAGTTAGTGTTAGGATTGGTCATGGGAGTGCGTAGTTAGTAGTATAGTGAACAGTTAGTAGTAGTAGTAAACAGTAGAGAGTATAGAATAGGCTAATGAGGTAGAAACATGATTTTATACATTTGAATAAAGAACTTTGTATTTGGAACTGAACTGTGTGTTATTGGATTCATTCGTTTCGCATCGTAAAAATCCCCACCCTCACAACTGGTGCAACAAGAAGAACCACAAACAAGATCCTCATTTTGTACCCTCACACAGACGAACCAATGCTTCCTTTTATGTATAATGACCTGATTCTGATTATCACTTGACATGGACAAGTCATTCAATTGAAGTTGGGTTTGTTGCTGACTCTCTAATAAAGTCTCTAGAAAAAGTAAAAAAAGCAAGTGAGCTTCAAATTCTCAATTCCAAATCTGATTGTAAGACAACTTTGATAGGATTTTCATCAAATTTTTTGTTGAAATCTCCATTACTTTAGTCATTAGTGAGAGACTTAGCCTAATGCAAATGTTTAAAAATAGAGCCAGTTCACCAAAAAAAAAATGAAGGGAATTCTTCACATCCTAGTCAACAAATGGAAACTGAAATCAGCTGAGTGTGACCAAGTTCTGTTTCAATTTTCAACATTCATAGATACATGTACTCTAAATGGTTGTCTATCTAAATCTAATTGAGAACATGATAGGCTGGACATTTTTTTCATAGAACAGCTTGGTAGCAAAATTTCTTATGTGAACATTTGGAAAATTGTTAGAGATCTATTGCTTCTGTCACATGGTCAAGCCAGTGTTGAAAGAGGTTTTTCTGAAAATAGAAGTTGGAGGAGTGTCATTTGACACCAAAGATACTGATTGCAAAAGGGATTATGCTGGACTCTCAGACAATCTCCTGACTTAGATAATTTTGTAATTACACCAACATTATTTCAAAAATTGTGTGTGCAAAAAACATACATCACCCTCATTGTAATGCCCATTAGTGGTAGTTTTTACCTTGAAATTCCCCCCAAAATCACCTTGAAAACCTTGAAAAAGCCTTGAATTTTCTTTTGGGATTTGGCTATGGACCCTGTATGCACTCTTGGTATTTTAAAATCTTGAGACGAGACCTAGAAACAAATAACCGCATTTTTTTTTTTAATAATGGTAACCATGTTCACAAGAGAAAATTCAGTTCGAAAATTCACACCTCTCCCTGGCTAGCGAGATATCGAATAACAGTGAGAGAGAACATGTCTTACAAGCCATACACTCGGCAGCATTTGTAAAAGTAGCTACTATAAGTCCATAGTAACGATGAAAACAGTTCTATAGAATACAAGGCATCACTATAACATGACAACACAACTGCAAACAATGGATGGTTGCAATGTTTTTATTGAATACAATGTTTGTATATACAGTTAGGTGTATTTATATTAATAGTTATTAAATTTTAATGTTTTATTGACGTTAATATCTAAACTACAAAAGATTGCATTTTATTATCTATTTTTATCATTGAATGCAATACAATTATTAATGTACGTTATTGTTTCTTTTGCTTAAATCAACAGACAGTTGTATAATGAATATTATTACAAAACAGTCTTATTTTAATAAAAATATTTTATTCTGCGTAACAGATCGTGCACATTTGATGAAAGGAAAAAGTGGGAGGGGGTTATATTTATCATCATGTTATATTGTGTCCTATGGAATATGGTTAAAATACTGCTGTTGTATAACACTTGTTAGTAAGTTTAGTTGTTTTTATTTATAAAAAACAAAAACAAAAGAAAATTCTGCTATAGGCCCATGAATCTACAATCATTGGATAATTAGGATGAAAAACGACGATTTTCTAAAAAATAATGTGATTCTTGTAATTCATTTATATGGTCACATAAATTGCAAAACACTGAGTTTACATTTTGTTCGTGATGAGGCAAGGGGGGGGGGGGGGGGGGTTATGAACATATTTGTTCTGTAACGTCCTGTGGAGAATGGGGTAGGTTTCAAATGTCTTGTAGGTATGTTATGAAACATGTACACGTCTGGACGATCGCTACTATAGGGCTGGTAAATAGGTCACCAACCAGTTCTACAGCTCAATAAAACCTGCATGAGCCATATAACTATTTATTGACCTACTTACCAGCCCTATACTTGTCAGCATGTCTAATACTTGTGTTAACAAAAACATTTTGCACGAGATCACTGCGAAGAATGATTTGATTTGTTTTTAAATCGACTTTCTCGGGTTTTTAAAAAAAGTTTTCTGCAAAATCCAAGTAAGTTATGTAACATCCGCGATCTCTTAACTGTCACTACTGTCAGTTAATATAACCCAGTCATTCTACTATAACTTATCTATTATGTCTGCACTCAGCCAGCATTATATCCTATTTCTTCTCATCCAACCAACTTTATGTCCTATATCTTCTCAATCAGCCAGCTTTATGTCCTACAACTTCTCAATCAACCAGCTTTATGTCCTATATCTTCTCAATCAACCAGCTTTATGTCCTATTTTTTCTCATCCAACCAAATTTATATCCTATTTCTTCTCATCCAACCAACTTTATGTCCTATATCTTCTCAATCAGCCAGGTTTATGTCCTATAACTTCTCAATCAACCAGCTTTATGTCCTATATCTTCTCAATCAACCAGCTTTATGTCCTATTTTTTCTCATCCAACCAAATTTATATCCTATTTCTTCTCATCCAACCAGCTTTATGCCATATATCTTTTCATTTATGTCATATATCTTCTCATACAACCAGCTTTATGTCCTATAACTTCTCATCCATTATGTCCGCATCCAGACAAGCGTACTGTTCGCTCTGGAATAGTTCCAGATTGATGTAATCTTTTTCCTTTTCCAGCAGAGTCTCGAACCTGCGACACAGGGCATCAAACGTTGGACGGTTCTCTGGGAGGAAGGACCAGCAGCTGCACATGAGCTCGTATCTGGGGACGGGGAGGGTTAGGGTTAGTTGGTTGGTTGTGGGGGAGTTGGGGTGGCGTTGTGTGTGGGATTGTGGGAGGTGAGTTGTAGGATTGTGTGGGGGTAGGAGATTGTGTGGGGGTGGGATTTATTGTGGGAGTTGAGTTGTGTGGGGGTGGGAGTTTGTATGGGATTGGGATTTTGTGTGGGAGTTGAGTTGTGTGGGGTTGTGAATGGTTGGGATTATGTATGGGGGTGAGTTGTGTGGGATTGTGGGGGTGGGTTTGTGTATGGAATTGTGTGGGGTGGGATTTTGTGTGGGAGTTGAGTTGTGCGGGTTTGTATGGGGGTGGGATTTTGTGTGGGAGTTGAGTTGTGCGGGTTTGTATGGGGGTGGGATTTTGTGTAGGATTGTTGGAGTTGAGTTGTGTGGGGTTGTGAGTGTGTGGGATTATACATTGGGGTGAGTTATGTGGGGGGTGGGGGTTGTGTGGGATTTTTTGTGTGTGATTGTGTGGAACTTTTTTGTTGCTGTCGTAATTGATGTGGAATTGTCAAAATTTCTCTAGCTGAGTGGGTTTTTAGTTGTCAAAGTGGATGTGTGTGTTGTCGATTGTGTGGTTAGGATTAAAGTTATCTACATGTCAGAACTGCAGTGCTGAGGTTTCTCCATTTTCTTGCCAGCGCTAACAAACTTGAAGACGTCATGGGCAGACAACCCGGGGTAAGGACTGGCACCTGAAATCAATGATCAAACTCTTTAGATCGATATTTTGTCAACTTGGGTGGGGTGGGTGTGGTGCGAGAAAATGAAATCTAGGCTGGACATTTGGAACAAAATAGGGCTGGTAAGTAGGTCACCAACCAGTTCTACGGCTCAATAAAACCTGCATGAGCCATATAACTGGTTGGTGACCTACTTACCAGCCCTATTGCCAGGTTCACCCAGTATCTTTTACATCACAGGTACTGTTTATTTTATCTTGAAGGCTGATCTATTCAGACCCATCACGGTATCCCGTGTATTAATATAATAGTATTAATGTACACATTTTGTGAAGCCCTTCTTCATGACACAATGTTGTAGGAAGCTAATGCTATTTTGTTGTATTTGTTTGCTATCTAGAAAGTTCGCTCCGTCCCCATCTATCAACACAAAAGTGTATCGTTTGCAATCAGACTGTTGGTTGCAAGACATTCAAGGTGAAGGTTACATGCGCCTGCTTAATGAATTTGCCGAGATTTACAATCTACACCCCCCCCCCCCCCTCCAAACCCATACAGTAGCCCCCTCCTACCAAACTAAAGTAAAACAATAGACTCACCCAAAGATAGTCCCCCCCCCCCTCCAACACCGTAAAGTACACTGTTGTGAACACACGGACATGCCATTCGGGAGATCCGATGCGTAGCGCAACACATAAGACAAACAACCACAAACGGGTTACAAAACAAGACTGAAACAAAGGCTCGTTGAAACTAAAAGAATTTATATACACTATCTACACCTAACACAGTCTAGTTTAAACAGAAAATACACAAGCTAGTAAACTAAGATACAGTGGCTAAAAACTAGTATAAACCTAACCTGTACTAACCTTGGAGATCTGGACAAAACTGAGGCCATCACACACGTTTTCATACACCTTACATACCCTTTCATAAACTGGTTCAAACCGGAATATTACAACTCACAGCACGAGAACTGAACAAGGACGAACGGTATAGGGTACCAAGTAACAACAATATTCACCCCCTTCACTACATACACCCCCCCTACTAATGTAAACCTATTAACTCACCTAGCGTAACAATCTCCCACAGAAGAATGCCGTAGGCCCAGACATCAGATTTAGTGCTGTGTGTTCTGTCGATCAAACTTTCTGGTGCCAACCATCTAACCGGCAGCGGACCCTGTGAAGTTTAGCACAACACTTGTTTTAAACTTAATTTATCATTCACCTACCACTTCTGTTATAATCTACTTCACCTACGCCGCTTTAACGGTAACGGGTTCGGGTTCGAATCTAAAACGAAGTATGAAAATTAATGCTTGAAACGAATAAAACACAGTTGGAAGATTCTACAAAGGAATCAATGTCCTAATAATGTAAGCCATAGCAAGGTGAATCAACATTGGGGTGATTGGGATTTGCCACCAACTAGCAATAAAGAAAGTAAACAAGTTAATTAAAGCGCAATTTCCTTATATCGAACCTCAGCTTATTAATAGGGTACAAAAATAACGTTTGATTTAATAAGTAAATTAAATCGAGATAAATCATATATTCAGCAAATAAATAATGCAACACAAGTAGTTTTAATAATTCAAAACAAAATAGAAAAAATATTTATTAACGAGATTTTTAAAAAAAATCCTTTCGAACCTCCGCTCATTCGCTATGGTAAATTCCTTTCGAACCTCAGCTTATTAATAGCGTACAAAAATAACGTTTGAATTAATAAGTAAATTAAATCGAGATAAATCATATATTCAGCAAATAAATAATGCAACACAAGTAGTTTTAATAATTCAAAACAAAATAGAAACTAGCCTCCCGTATCAGTCTAAAAAAAGGGGAGAGTAGCCTCCCGTATCAGTCGAAAAAAAAAGGGGGAAAATTTAAAAAATCCTTTCGAACCTCCGCTCATTATAATCCTTTCGATCCTCAGCTTTTGCGCTAAAAACCTACAAGACGCTCAGTTTAAAAATTCTTAATTAATTTTTCGTGACCGAACGAAAGGATATTTTTGAAAACTTTCTTCGGCAATATTGGTTTAAATTATGGCAGGAATCGATTGGTAAATGTTTCAAGTCGCTAAGTGTTCTGGTTGCCGAGATATGGAGCAAAAACTGAATTTGTTCGAGGTTTTTTGGCTTTTCCGTGAAATCCATGAAAGAAACCCGGAATTTTTATGGCCTATGTTCATCCTCGTAACTTGCTTAACATAATTGCTTTTGGAATTAGTCATCGATATTGCTTCGTTGAGGAGGAGATACGGCTTAAAGCTGCGGACACACATCCATCCATCCATCCATTCATTCATACAACCAGAAATGACGGGTTAATAAACGCAATTCTCCAGAATGGAAATTGCGCTAAAAATGCTTTCTTTAGACGTAGCGATCCATTGTGTAGATGAACTAGGGTTCATGTTTCTTGACTTCGGCATATGAAGTGATTGCGTGGTCAACACTAAGCTGCACTATGCCCAATCGTCTTTACTCTCCCCAACGTATTGTCTGGTACCCATCAGAGCTGGGTGGATTAATCAAAACCAGGACCGAACTCGAGACTTTGGGGCTGGCCTCCAACGCTCTACCATTCGACCACGTCGTCCCACACAAACTCACAATAGGATGCAGTGAAACATAATATTTAGTTTAAATATTTTAACCAAATGCTAAAGCCACCAAATTGACATAATATGCTTGTTTTCTACAGATAAAACAATTATTTTCTGGCCAAATTATGTGGCAACTGAATTGGACCAATGTTGGAGTTTCTTCCCAGACTTTAAGTAAAACAAGTTAAAAAACCGACGATTAAATTATAATCAAACTAATGAAGTTAATTAACCTTCAACTTCAACGAATAACTGAAAATATACAGGACACCGTGACGCTAAGTTAACCGGCTAGCCTGACAGTTATGTTGATTTCACAGGACACCGTGACGCTAAGTTAACCGGCTATTCTGACAGGTGTGTTGATTTCACAGGACGCCGTGACGCTAAGTTAACCGGCTAGCCTGACGGTTATGTTGATATGGACATTTGGTGGACATTTTGGGGAGGTGTGTGGTCATTTCGTTGGACATTCTGGTGAGGTGGGGGGACATTTCGTTAACATTTTGGGGAGGTGGATGGACATTATTCGTTATTCGAACCATTGAGGGAATGGGAGGTGGACATTGCATGGACATTGGGGGAGTTTTGGAAAATTTGCTTTGACATTTATGTGGAAATTGACATTGTATGTACATCTTAGTGGTTCTAAAGAAAAGAAAAACTTTTAAAAGTTATATGACTTCAATGAAGTGTGTTCTTTTTTTCTTCAAGGTGGAACTATATACCAGGAAAAAACGAAACAAAACTTGTTCTTCCTGAAATCCATGACTATCAACATTAAAGATATAGATACAAGATGGGCTTTTTTAGATTTTAGATATTTAGATATTTCAACGCTTTAATTTTAAAAACATCAAAATGTTATTTTAAGGGCGAAATTCATCCCCGATGTCTGAGTCAATGGTCTAGCTAAAATAAACGTATGTTTAATAAAACAATCAGTAGCTGAAGTCGAAAAATGTGTTTTTCTTATATTTCTGTGGTTTTACTGTCCATTACCTGTCTGTTTCTGTCACATGTAAATATTTTTTACCAACTTTACAATCGTTTGTGTTTTATTAGATGAGTTAGACCAACTTAAGAATTAACTATCCTTCTACCCGATGCTTGTATTTTATTGTATATTGTATTGTTCGTGGCATAACTTTCAGCCTTTCGTTGTTTCAAAATCCTTTTTTTTCTCTATCTAAAAGGTTTTTGTAAGTTTTTTTCCTTCAAGCTCTAATAAATTTTGTACGGTATTTAGACCATAGCTAAACTATGCGGAGACAATCTAAAATTCCGTAGTTTAGATTTACCCAAACAAAAATGGCAGATGTTATAGACGTGGAAGATGAAAATATTTTAACTGGTATCTTTTTAAAGATTCCTTTCCAGGTAAATATACATTTACAGTATAAGTTAAGACACTAAAAAAGAACGTAGTCACAATTCTTTATATAAATATAGCCTATCATAGGCAACATAAGCAATAAAAAATAATTGGGCCTTCCCTACATTTCTGAGGCTCGGTCAGCCGGTGTTGTCACTGTTGTTGAGTGACGGCTTACGCACATCACTCAGTCATCACAACGACGACTCTTCTACTTCTAGTAGTTCTAGTTTTCTACTTTTCTAATTCTAAGTACTTCTAACTAGATCTAACTTCTACTCTGTTATAGGGTAGATATATGTAGGGATTTTGGTAAAAAAGCACTAATCATCATATAAAAATAAAAATTACATATTCTTGTAGAGCTGAACAAAATGAAAACAAAACAAAAAAGATTTTTTGTCTAGCTCAAATAGTTTTTTTTTTGCGAATTTTTTTGTGAGGGGTGGAATCCCCTTACTTTTGCATTGGCCAATTGTGACAAGTCATGGTATACCTGAATAATAGCGAGGCTCACTAAATCTTAATTTTAATTATTTATTTTTTTAACCAATACCAATAAAAGCTAGAGATATTTCTCTAACTAACCAGGCACTACATTTGATGAGTTTAGCTCATTTTGAACTAAAATACATGATTTTAATTATTGGTGCCATACAGCTTAGCTGGGAAAGATTTTTCCATGACAACCATTCAAAGATCTGGTTCCTAAAGTTGACCTGAAAACGACCAAGGAGGTTCGTAAGGATCATGTGTGGGGAGGGGGAAGTGGAGGTATGCTGCAATAAAACGAAATCGAAAGGATACTCGTAACTTGGTTATGTAATCTATTTACTGTATTTCTAGTAAACGCCAAAGGAATGAACCAAAATAATCACGTATAAATGTTTAAAAATATATAGATCTAAACTTTTTAAAGGTATTCATTTTCACTTTTATTCAGTCTTGATTAATCAGTGTAAATAGGAATGTTTAATTAGGACAATTAGGCCTAATAATAATAGATTGAGTTAACGGCGGAATCTAACCCTCCTCCCTTATCCAGCATGGAAGCTTTGTCCAGGCTGAGTTTTAAATATTTAAAAAAAGTAGGTTTATATAGACATAATAAAATATCTGTTTTTATTTTTAAAACTGTCGTTGCATTAAATTTCATCACATGTGAGCGAGAAATGCATTCCAAACATCGCCACTCATAGTATAGGCTGTGCGTAGTGACGGCTCGCTCGCGTTGTTTTGTCAACGAGAGAAACATCGCCCGTCCGAAGCTAGACATATCCAGGCGGAGTTTTAATACTTAAATTTGTATCTAGAGCTGGTGTCTAGATCTATTTAAAGATTGTTAGGCTACGCCTATCACATTAACGTTGATCACTTGTGAGTGAAAAATTATGCAAATTCGTCACGAGCCCGCTTGCGTTCTTTCGTCACGCGAGCGTGTGCGCAAGTCCAAGTACTGTGTCAACTAGATCTAGATCAACTTTTGTTTATGCAGGCTGTCCTCTAATATGATTATTATAATTTATTAGCCTAGTCCTTCTGGATCTAAATCATAATAATCAATTATATAAAAAATGAAAGCAAATGAAAAAAATAATATTAACTATAATTCGATCAAGTCGTAATTAGTAATAATAAAATCAAGTAAATAATTTAGCACCTAGACTTTACTAGACGTATCGAGATCGCGTTTCACCACGAGATCACCGGTTTACGGGCTTTTACAGAAATACCAACTAATTCCTATCTTCCCATGTTCAGATCGAAATACTTAATTAATTTGTCCAGCAATGTAAAAATCAAAATTGGAAAATATTCACTTAACGCTTGTCAACATAAATAACAACACAAACGTAGTAAAGAGTCGATAGAGCCACCTAGGCAAACGTCTCCCGCCCAATAGCGGTCACGTGGGTTATGGAATTTTTACTTTTGGTGGTGACCGTTTTGGAGAATTTTTTTAAAAATTAGCGCATGTAATATTCGATTTATTTTTACACAGACTGCTAAATCTAATATTGATGTACTTTCGGTTTCCGATCTACATCGTAGTAGCTAATATTTAAAAAGATCTACGAATGTTTGTCGGCACCACTTTTTGAGCTTCGGTCTTCATTATCCAAAGCAATTTATAGCGTTTCTCTGGCATATTTAGCACTGCCATTTATAGTTTGTTTACATTATGTGAAAAAACCGCCATTTTTCACGAGGTAAACATTTTAAAAACGAATTCCTAGAAAGTCACTTGGGCAGACAAGAAAAATGTCCGAAACTAAGCGTCCGGTGTAGGACGCCATGTTGTTGTTAGCAACCAGAGACGCTTTCAAGTTAGTGAGCCTCGCTATGAATAAATTTAGCATAGTTATTTTAATTGCAGTTGTATTTTGTTCATATTTGCAGAGCTTAGCTAGAATGATATATAGAACTTGTAAATGCTGTTGAAATGAATAAAAATAATACAGAACTTATATTTTTGTGTTGGCTTCCTCCCATAACCCCAAAAAACTGTGTGCTGCGCAAATATGAAAATGTTTCTAAAGCCATATTTTATATAAATTCAGCAAATGAAAGAACTACAAAGTTTGAAATCTAAAGTAAATGACTTGAACACTGTTATGTGCATATAATATTATAATTGCCTCATTATTTTGGGCAGGTGAAGTAGAGTCCATCTTTAAGCCATTTTGTTATAAAACTGCTGCGCAAATATGAAAATGTTTCTAAAACAATATTTTATATAAATACAGTGAATGTAAGAACTACATAGTCAGAAATCTAAATGACTTGAACACTGTAATGTGTATATAACTGCCTTGTTATTTTGGGCAGGTGAAGTAGAGCCCATATAAGCCATTTTGTAATAATTTAAATGAAGTTATCAGATCAATGTTTTTATGTGTGAATTGTGTATGGATTCTGATTTTCAGCATATAACTATATCTAAGGGTAAGTAGAACTTGAATACTTAAAATTACAGTTAGCACAATGCTAGTGTATAGCAACAGACAGGTAACCTAGATCTAGGTCTGACTCTTGTCAGTCTAGTCTGACAAAATTGGATTTTAGGAAAAACATTCTGCAAAACTAGAACTAGAGCTGAAAAAATTAAAGATGGGTATGTAAATATATTTTGAAATAAAAAATTAGGAGATTTGTTTGCACATTTCATAAGAATGCTGTTGTTAGTTGATCAAACTTAAAGGCCGGAAGATCGGGATGAAAAAATATAACAATGGTGGCAACGCGACCTACATACAGTGGCCACCTCTAAACGAGTATATCTAATGTCAGAGTCAAAATATCCAAAAACAAATATCATTTCCACATATATAAGATATGTCTGCTCAGTAATCTTCACTCATCTAGAATAACCTTTTAAAAAATCGTGATTCCAACGTATTTGAAACTAGCCTTCATACAGGGGGAAGACCAAGGCAGAGACAGCGTGCAATCAGATCGCTAAGCCATCAAAACAATGGGAAAACCATTCTACTTTTCATTTAACATTAGGAAATGACCTTTTAAACTTAATTAATTACCATAAATTAAAAACTTATTAGTATGCAAAACCAAATCTCGTGTGCCCGGTATCAGAAAGTAATGGGCGATTTCGGGTCATGTTTTTACCGCGATCTCGGCCGATACCGACAACCCTAATATATGTAGAATATAAGGTAAAATCTTAGTTTAGCGTCGTAAATTCCAACGTAGCTAGTAATGTGTAGGCTTTCCGATTCGCTGCCATCTTGTGATCCAAACTACATCCGGACTTTTTCAAGCGTACTTGAAAAAATTCGCCGTTCCAATGAATGCTAATTCTAGGCATCAGAATCGAAAAATTAAATATATTCGATACTATCATATGCGTTGAATTTTATCATTTAAATGTTTCATTGATAGAAGTAGCTGTCATTTTACAATACTCGATACTGAAAGCGACCTAACGATGATAGCGAAAATCGATCGAAACCGTGCAGTACCGAACCGCTACTTTCAGAACTAAATTTCAGCTTTAAAAAAAGAGAATAAGTACAGGAAACTAGTAAATAAGTAGCCTAATGCCAAACCATTTTGATATATGAGATATTGCTCCTTGCGTGGGTAAAACCTTAGTTTAGCGTCGGTTATTATTCCGGAATCGTATAGCAGTAAAAAACAGTAAAACAATGCCAAAGTCTGTTACACACTTCCGGAATTCACCGGAAGTACTGTAAACCATACTTTATTTGGCGTCATCTTTTATTTTTATACAGAATGTTTAAAATTTGCATAGATTTATTTTTGTAATTATTTTTACATTTTGTAATCATTTTTACTATTTTCGTAATCTAGATTTTTTTTACTTGGCCTAGCAGCTAGATATCTAGCTAGATCTAATTAATTAATAGTCACAAATCCACTACAAGCCAAAAACATTAAATTATTACATTTACTCCATTATTTATATTTATGTTTTTTTTTATTTTTAGATCTACTACTTTAAATCTACTATTATATTTATTCTTGTTTCCTTTTGTCGATTAAACTTTAAAAAAAAAATTAAAACATTAATTTACTACAATCGACTTTCAATTTATTTATATTTCAATGGTCAAATAAATAAACCATGGTTTACCGTAACTCTAGTTACCGAAACTCAACAAACATTACCCGATAATTTCCTACGCTAAACTAAGGTTTTACCCTTGCGTGAAGTGATATAGATCTACGCAATTTTAATAATGGCGGCCGAGTTAGGATTTTCATGACGGCCCATAGGCATGAAATAAAAAATTCGCACATTATTGCTATTTAACAGTGTTTATTGAATTGGCAAGATCTAAGCTTATAAAAAAGCTTTTTTATGGATTAAATAAAATTTAAAGCATTGGAATTAATAGTCCCATTCATTAATAGACTCAATAGGGTAAATAATAATTAAAATTTTAAATAGGTCCTAGATTCCTATAGATCTAAATAAATATTGCTCTCCAGTCTAAACAAATTCCATTTAAATTTTAAACTTTTTATTAGTAGTCTATATTTATAGCCTAACCAATGAGTAAAATAAAAATCAAATAGTCTAGAAATAATAGTTAAAATATAGTTCTACAGTATAGAGGCAATGGAATTTTTTTTTAAAAAAAGTCAAAGATAAAATAGGAACATTTAACACTTTAACCATGTGATCTAAAGTCTAAAGCAACAGTAATACATTTTTTTTTAAAAGTCAAAAAGAAAACAGAAACAGTAACACTTTTAACAATGTGATTTAATTTTACTTAAAAATAACAAACTAAACAACAGTAATGTTTTTTATATAGAATCTAGTAGGTTCAGATCAGCAAATAAGGCAGCTGTCTATCCTTTGGTTGCCACACATCTCGTCTAGTTTCTGTTACACTATTTATTGATTAGCAATCCTTGGCTACTTATTAAAAGTAGCCTACAACTAATGCTACTAATAATTAGATACTTCAACATAATCCTAAACATATCATATTTCAGTATGAGTATAATACCCAGGTGTTATTGATGCAAAATTTCAGTCCCACCCCCTTAGTTTGACTTCATTATATGTGATTGTCTTTTTCTTCTAGCATGTATTAAACTTGTAAGTTTCTATTTCCAACATCCTTAAGCATCAATGTGCTAAGTTTTATCTTTATATCATCAATAGCAACATAGATATGCAGTATTAAAAGTGACTTGCGACAATCATTGTAGAACTGCACCACACACCTTAATTGGGCTTAATTAAGTTAATTATAAATTCTTTTTCTTTAAATTGATCTTTATTTCACTTGCATATTCCTGTTGTCTACACGTTTTATGCATAATGGAGTCTGAAAAACTGGGCTTTGCAATTCTTTCAGTGTATGTGTGTCTGTGAACACGATAACTTGAGTACAGTTACAGCTAGGTTGATAAAATTTCATATATAAGCATTATATCAAATTTCTAGTTCTGTATCAACTTTTCAGCGATTTCTGATTAACCTGAAGTGGAACTAATTCTACTTTAAATTTTTCAAAAGCCTATAACTTGAGTTCTGTTTTAGATAGCCAAATGAAATTTTATATGTAAGTAAACGATCTAATTTTCCACCTTCTTTCAAATTTAGAGTAATTTCCGTTGACCAGAAGTAGTAATGGACGCTATTTCCAATTTCTCAAAAATGCTTGTGAATATATAAAGTACTAATAATATTCCGCACTATTATACATATTTTGTTTCGCATTTCTTTGGTGTGCAATTCTTTTTTTCTACAAGATTCTATTCTATTTTTAAAAGTTTAAGTACTTAAACATGGTTTTAAAAATCATGTCTATATATAGTATATCCTGAGTTGCCAATCCCCCGTAGTGTTATATAAGAATATTCGAGAAAGCTTAGGGGAGATCACTACTGGCTTTTTAACATTACTAGCCTCTGCAGATTTTATGTACATAAAATCATAGATTACCTTAGTCTGTTAATTAAGAATAGTAAGGTGTACTTTTGACCTCATTTCTTTATTTATCTCGCAAGTGACACTTTAGTGAAAGTAGCTTTGTATATTCTAGTTTTAAAATGAACTTACAATCAAATAAACTTCTAAACTATGATTCTAATGTTATGCCGTGTATGATTAAACAACGGTTTGGGAATAATTCTCATGTCCTTAGGTGTGGTCACTATGCCAGTCATATACCCCCCCCCCCCCTCCCGATTAATGCCAATTAATTATAATCTTGTGAAAAACAAGGCGCGTTTAGATGTGTGCTGCGCCCAAAGCCAATCATTTGGCCAGATTTATTATTTGTCATGTGGCCCCATATTTTAAAAACATAAAGCGTTGTGCTTTCCTCATTGATGATTGTTTTTTTTTTTCATTTTTTAAAGTGAAAATATGAATTGTTATGATTGCAGTTTTTGTAACATGGTATACTTACCTTCTGTCAATTTAAAAAGCATGGCATGTTAATTTTGTACAAATATTGTATAAAACAAAAAAAATTTTAAGTTTGATTTTATTTTCTACCATAATCCGCCACCCTCAGGCATATACAATACATTAATTATTTTATTTTTAAAATTGTTTATTGATTGTATTAACTTTAAGCTATCTAAATTCATTTCTAAGATATTTTAATATGCTTCTGAGAAGTTTTATTGAAAAAACGTTGTTTTGACTATAGTCACTAGATCTGTATAATCACCACTTTAACATTTAAATATTTAATCCTCAGTTCATTTATAAGAAGCAGCATGGGAGAGGCAACTGGTGATTTAGATTTACAGTCTGATGAGTTTGAAGAATTTTCAAATTCTGAAGATGTGAAGCCACTTCTATCTACAGTATTTTCATCTTCTTCTGACATAAAAACAGAATTATCATTTTTAACTTTCCGTGATATCAAACCAAACTTGACATTTAAAACTTCACAGGATGATAAAACCGTTGTTACGCCAGATTTTTCATCTTCAACAGATACAAAGTCAGAATGTACAACATTTTCCTCTTTAGATGATGTAAAACACCATATGACATTTCTAACTTCTCAAGATAAAACAACAGGATTTTTAATTTTTAAAGATATGGAGCCTGCTGTATCAGCAGTATGTACAAGATCTGAAGATATAAATCCAGAATTAGCAATTTTATCAACTAGTGAAGATATAAAACCAGAATTAGAAACTTTATCAACCAACACAGAATTAGAAATTTTATCAACTACTGAAGATATAAATCCAGAATTAGAAAATACATCAACTAGTGAAGATCTAAAACAAGAATTAGAAACTTTATCAACTAGCGAAGATATAAAACCAGAATTAGAAACTTTAGCAACCAACAAAGATTTAAAACCAGATTTATGGACAAAATTTTTAGATTCTGAGGACAAACAACAAAATGGACTTGAAGAAAAGCTAAAACTCTCTGAAAACAAAACATATCTCTCTGATGATCGTCATGAACAGTTTTTTCCAAGTTCTAACTTGAATAACCAAGCTGAAGCAGGGGAGAGGCCACTTGAATGTGATGCTTGCCATAAAATGTTTTCAGATAGTTCTAGGTTAATTAAACATAAAGAAGTTCATTCAGGGGATAAGCCATATGAATGTGATGATTGTCATAAAAAGTTTTCTAATAGTTCTGCTCTAAGCAGCCACAAAAAAATTCATTTACTAGTTAGACATTATGAATGTAATGTTTGTCACAAAAGGTTTTCAAGGAATTCTGGTTTAGCAGAACACAAAAAAATTCATTTAGTAGTTAAGCCTTATGAATGTGATGTTTGTCATAAAAAGTTTTTTAAGAGTTATAATTTATATACACACAAAAGAGTTCATTCAGGAGATAAACCATTTGAATGTGATGTTTGTCATAAAAAGTTTTCTCAGAGTTCTAGTTTAAATACACACAAACAAGTTCATTCAGAAGATAAACCATTTGAATGTGATGTTTGTCATAAAAAGTTTTCATATAGTTCTAGTTTATATACACACAAAAGAGTTCATTCAGGAGATAAACCATTTGAATGTGATGTTTGTCTTAAAAAGTTTTCACAGAGTTCTACTCTAAGCAAACATAAAAATGTTCATTCTAGAGATCAACCACATGAATGTGATGTTTGTCATAAAAAGTTTTCAGACAGTTCTCTTCTAAACAGACACACAAAAATTCATTTAGAAGTTAAGCCTTATGAATGTGATGTTTGTCAAAAAAAGTTTTCTCAGAGTTCTAGTTTATATACACACAAAAAAGTTCATTCAGAAGATAAACCATTTGAATGTGATGTTTGTCATAAAAAGTTTTCATCTAGTTCTTATTTAAGGAAACATAGAAAAGTTCATACTGGAGATCAACCACATGAATGTGATGTTTGTCATAAAAAGTTTTCATCTAGTTCTTATTTAAGGAAACATAGAAAAGATCATACTGGAGATAAGCTACATGAATGTGATGATTGCCCGAAATATTTTTCTGAAATAAAGACTCTCCCGACATATTGGCTCCCGATATAAGGGCTCAAGATAAGGGCTCCCGGCAATTGGGCTTCCGACATATTGGCTTTTGACAAAATGACTCCCGACATATTGGCTCCAGACCAATGAATTGCATGACCACTATTGGCATAAAAGTAACGATTTTGTCATACCTCTAATACCACTATAAACTCTTTTAAATGCCCGAATGAAATTGTTTTTCATGAACCAACAAAGCGAGCCCTTAACAGCTAAATTTCACCAATTCTAAAGTTTTGATAATGTTTAATTTACAACAGAAAAGATCTGTTGCTTAAAAGCGAGCACAGAAGTGTAAATGTATGATATACATGATGTTTACATGATAACAGCATTTTGTTTTGATAACCTACAAGCATACTGGTAGAAAGGTACAGCGTGGACCCTTCTCCCCACACACTGAGTTGGAACAGCCTATAACCGACTCAATTATGGATGTCATAGATAGATGACCCTTAAATTAAAACATTCTATATTTTATAATAGATAAACTAATATAAAAATAAGGCCTGCCGAACAAGAGATGCATACGTTGTGTTACATAAAAGTGTTAGATAAACTAACTCTAAAGAATATTGATGAAGGGGTCCCACTGGCATTTGTCATATTCAATGAGACCGCTTTGCCGGGAGACTTAGTCTCTACAGAAACGGTATTGTCAGTAGTCCTTTTGTCTGGAGCCAAATTGACAGGAGCCTTTTTGTCGTGAGCCAAAATGACGCTAGCCTATTTGTCGGGAGTCATAATGACTGGGGCCATTTTTTGGAGAAACTAAATGGCGGGAGCCTAATTGTCGGGAGCCGTAATGACGGGGGCCTATTTGTTAGGAGCCTTATTGACTGGAGCCCTTTTGTCGGGAGCCTATATAACGGTAGCCTAAATGATGGGAGCCTATATGACAGGGTCCTTATGTCGCTGGCCCTTTTGACGGGGCCAATTTGCCAGGGGCCGTTTTGTCATTGGCCGCTTTGACGCCGCACGCGGACCCATTATTGTAAAAAAAAACATAGTTGCCCCATATAGCCCACTATATAAAAAATAATATATAGCCTGTATATAGTATAATGCCTATATATACTTAAACATATATATATTTATATATGTATATATATATGTATATATATATATATATATGTATATATATGTATATATATATGTATATATTTATATGTGTATATATGTGTATATATATGTGTTTATATATGGGTGTATATATATGTGTTTATATATGGGTGTATATATATGTGTGTATATATGTGTATATATATGTGTTTATATATGGGTGTATATATGTGTGTGTATATATGTGTGTATAGATATATATGTGTGTATAGATATATATGTGTGTATAGATATATATGTGTGTATAGATATATATGTGTGTATAGATATATGTATTCGTATATATATATGTATTCGTATAGATATATGTATTCGTATAGATATATGTATTCATATAGATATATGTGTATAGATATATGTATTCGTATAGATATATGTATATTTATATATGTATATATATATATGTGTATATTTATATATATTTGTATATATATACATATATGTATATATATATATGTGTATATATATACACGTATATATACACGTATATATATATACACGTGTATATATATATATATACACGTGTATATATATATATATATATATATATATATATATATATATATATATATATATATATATATATATACACATGTGTATATATATACACGTGTATATATATATACACATGTATATATATATATACACGTGTGTATATATATATACACGTGTGTATATATATATACACGTGTATATATATATACACGTGTATATATATATATATATATATATATATATATATATATATATATATATATATATATATATATACACGTGTATATATATATACACGTGTATATATATATATATACACGTGTATATATATATACACGTGTATATATATATATACACATATATATATATACACGTGTATGTATATATATATACACGTGTATGTATATATATATACACATGTATGCATATATATATATATATATATATATATATATATATATATATATATATATACATGTGTATGTATATATATATACACACGTGTATGTATATATATACACGTGTATGTATATATATATACACGTGTATGTATATATATATACACATGTATATATATATATACATGTATATATATACATGTATATATATATATACACGTGTATATTTACACGTATATAGATATATATGTATATATATACACTTATATATATGCGTATGTATATACGTATATATATATATATATATATATATATATATATATACGTATATATATACATATATTTATACGTATATATACGCATAGATATAATTGTATATATATATATACATATATCTATATACATATATATATATATATATATATTTGTGATTATTGTCATAAAAAGTTTTCTAATAGTTCTGCTCTAAGCAGCCACAAAAAAATACATTTACTAGTTTAACATTATGAATGTGATGTTTGTCACAAAAGGTTTTCAGGAATTCTGGTTTAGAGAAACACAAAAAAGAAGTTCATTCAGGAGATAAGCCTCATGAATGTGATGTTTGTCATAAAAAGTTTTCTTATAGTTGTTATTTATATGCACACAAAAGAGTTCATTCAGGAGATAACCATTTGAATGTGATGTTTGTCATAAAAAGTTTTCTCAGAGTTGTTATTTATATGCATACAAAAGAGTTCATTCAGGAGAACCATTTGAATGTGATGTTTGTCAAAAAAAGTTTTCTCAGAGTTTTAGTTTATATAGACACAAAAGAGTTTATTCAGAAAATAAACCATTTGAATGTGATGTTTGTCATAAAAAGTTTTCATATAGTGCTAATTTATATGCACACAAACAAGTTCATTCAGAAGATAAACAATTTGAATGTGATGTTTGTCATAAAAAGTTTTCTCAGAGTTCTAGTTTATATAGACACAAAAGAGTTCATTCAGAAAATAAACCATTTGAAAGTGATGTTTGTCATAAAAAGTTTTCATATAGTTCTATTTTATATACACACAAACAAGTTCATTCAGAATATAAACCATTTGAATGTGATTATTGCCATAAATATGTTTCTAGAAAAAATAAAACAGTTCATACTGGAGATAAGCCAGATGAATGTGATGATTGCCATAAATATGTTTCTAAAATAAAGCGGCTCCCGACATATTGGCTCCCGATATAAGTGCTCAAGACAAATCCGCTCACGTTATATTGGCTTTTGACAAAATGACTCGCGACATATTGGCTCCAGACCAATCAATGGCATGACCACTATTGGCATAAAAGTAACAATTTTGTCCTACCTCCAATACCACTATATACTCTTTTAAATGCCCAAATGAAATTGTTTTTCATGAACCAACATTAATTCACAAACAAAGCGAGCCCTTAACAACTAAATTTCACCAATTCTAAAGTTTTGATGTTTAATTTACAACAGAAAAGATCTGTTGCTTAAAAAGCGAGAACAGAAGTGTAAATGTACGATTTATGTATATTAAGTATATATATATGTGTATATATATATATATATGTTACAGAGTGCCTTTTCTCGCAGCGCCAAATGTTACAGAGTGTATTTCCTTGTGCTATCTTTGACCGGCACACAACATTAATCACAATACAGATACTCTGAAGTGCAGGTTTACATTTATCTCTTTATTAATTGAATCAATGGAAATGTTCCACATAGCAATGCATCAATGTTCCACAAGAATACAATGAACCAACTGACCCCCACTGTCCTCACTAGTTCTCACACATCAGAATACACGTGTCCAAGGTTCAGTCTTCAAATCTTATTCTCACAAATTAAAACACGCATCTACTTCGGTCTGCCCCTCTTCTGTCGTGCAGTCCTATTTTATATCGCTTCTCAACTACGCAGTCGCCTTGTATTCGTAATCGGTTCTATCCGTTGCATCATAGCTATGAACTCCGCACTTCTGTCGTACAGTCCTATTTTATATCGCTTCCCAACTACGCAGTCGTCTTGTACTAGTTATTATTAGACTTTTGTTTCTATTTCTGTCACACCACCTGCATCAGTTCAGTTTGGCCTTGGTCATGTCTTTAGTTGACAGACTGTATTGCGTTCTTATCAATCGTCTTTAGTAACTACACTAGTTACATCTATATGTGTATATATGTTGGCTGGTATCCTAATGTTGGCTGGTTATTGAATAGTTGTCACAGGTTGCTTGTTTTTTTGTGTAGTTTTATTCGTGGTTTTCCGAATGTGATGATTGCCATAAATATGTTTCTAAAATAAAGCGGCTCCCGATATAAGTGCTCAAGACAAATGGGCTTCCGACAAATCGGCTCACGACATATTGGCTACCGACTATTGGGCTCCCGACATATTGGCTTTTGACAAAATGACTCCCGACAATTGGGCTCCCGACATATTGGCTTTTGACAAAATGACTCCCGACATATTGGCTCCAGACCAATGAATGGCATGACCACTATTGGCATAAAAGTAACGATTTTGTCCTACCTCCAATACCACTATATACTCTTTTAAATGCCCGAATGAAATTGTTTTTCATGAACCAACATTAATTCACAAACAAAGCGAGCCCTTAACAGCTAAATTTCACCAATTTTAAAGTTTTGATAATGTTTAATTTACAACAGAAAATATCTGTTGCTTAAAAGCGAGCACAGAAGTGTAAATGTACGGAATATGTATATTTATGTATATATATGTGTATATATATATGTATATATATGTGTATATATATATGTATATATATGTGTATATATATATATATGTATATATATGTGTATATATATATATATGTATATATATGTGTGTGTATATGTTGGCTGGTATACTAATGTTGGCTGGTTATTGAATAGTTGTCACAGGTTGCTTTTTTTGTGTGTAGTTATATTCGTGGTTGGTCGTAGCTGGATCGGGGTAATGTCCTCCCCTTCTCTCAAGACGCCGCCCGGTTCCCACGGCGCTGGGTTCTGGCAGGGTGTGACGGTGTCACGGATAATTTACGAGGTTCACAGTCGTGGACTGTGACCGGACCCTAGGTGTGTGCATGCTTTGTGTTCAATTTTATGTCCTGTCTCCCCAATGGTCGTCTGCTTAAATTTACGACCGTAAGGTCGCGACGGTCAGTTCGGCTTAAACAGGTGGTCTGAAAGTATGGGAAAAAGTTTGTTTGGATTCAGCCTATTTAAGAGGACTGTGTTCTGACCTCTGTCTCTTACACACCAAGCTAAGGCTATAGACCAGTCTAGGCCTTATGATGGCCGCAGAGGCTG